AAAAAAAAAAACAAAAAAATGCACAAAAAAAACCAGATAAATTCCGAAAGCAAAGCAAAACAAAACAAAAACGAAAAAAATGCTGTAAAAAACGAAATTTTTGATCATTTCGTAAGCAAATCAGTTAAAATCGACTGAATGCAGTGATCTTTGATCTTTTTGTACGTATATAAAATTCCTCCTTGCTTCCAAGACCTCCTCTTGTATATGGAGCCATTTTGAACTACCCATCAGTCCTTTAAATTTATGAATCTTTCATGTACATCTTGGCATGTCCACTAAATGAGCTACTAAAACCTATTTGGTACTTTGTATTGGCAATATCATTGGCAACGCCGGAAGAAAAATAAAGGGAAAAAGGAAGAAGAGAAAGATAAAGGAAAGGCAAGAAGTACAAAAAATTAAGCCATACTGAAAAACAGTTGTATTTTCATCGTCTTGCTCAATTTTATTCATCTGTGACGTTATTTTGCCAACAGCGTCACCGTTTGAGAGGACAACAAAGAACAATGAAGCAATTGAAAACACTGATGTAAGACCGCAGTTAGTGAGGCAAATAATGTCGATCTCAACAAAAAATATTGTTATAAAAAATGCATCTACCCGATGTTGTTAGTTTAGCATCAGTAAAAACTTTGAAACTGCACTACGGAACCAAAAACATCTATCACTACCTGCTACTGTTTAACGATACATCTAGTTTGCAGTCTCAACTTACCAACTTCCAACAGTTGACACATCCAAAAAGCCTTTTAATTAGGCTCCAATTTACGGCAACAGTAATTAACAAGCATTTTCATTATAATTCGATATCGTATATAAATGTAAATCAGTATCGATGTATAATGAAAATATAGTTGTATATTTATCCTGGTCAAACAACATCAAATGAATGCATTTTTTTATATCAGTATTTTAAGATTGGCAGATAAACAATATCAAATAAGTAATTGATATGAGTCTCTAGACCTGCTAAAAGATACTAATCTCTCGGGTCTTTTTCTAGTCATTTCGTCACTTGTCAGAGTTCAGTCATACATGTTATAGATCAACTGGTTCAAATAATGCAACAGTATCAACTGTCGAAGATATAAACAGCGTTGGTTTACATCAAGATCAATTTGTATAACAGCGACAACAATAACAAGACCTCTGAATATAAATTAATTTAGAATATTTGTCTCATAGTCTAGTTTTAAAAACAATTTTTACAAATAATGAACCACTGAAACCTTACATATTTGTCAGCCACCATCTAACTTCTTAAAAAAAAAAAAAAAACAAAATTTCTTCGTTTTTCTTTTTAGAAATCATACTACTCTTATATAAACTTAGGATAAAAAAAAAATTAAGCCTTGAAACTGGGCAGTTATATTGTTCATTTATGACAATACACGACGATTTAGATTCAGGTATAAGCAATCAGTATGGAAATACAAACACATACAGCTGAACAAAGTTATAAATATGCTATCGGCAATTTTACGCCTCTCCCATTAAAAACCAAAAGTATTGCCAAAAGTCCAATAAAACAGCCATATAAGCGTCGCACGGTGTTTAACCAGTGTAAGATGAAGACTGTTGAACGGATACTAATAGACAGAAGTAATGAAACCACATGCCTTTTACTAAAGGTTTTGTAAATCAGGATAAGGTCGGATACTTGGTTGATTAGTCGTCGAATATCCCAGATTACTTCAGCAAGTATCTGCTCTTTCTGACGTTCTTTTTTCTTGATGACTAAGATCAACAACGTTTTGATATAATTTACAGCAGTAAATATCATTATGGTTTCAAGAGTCAATTTTTTAAGCATTAAGGCGTGCATGCAGAATAAAAACAGCAACAACGGAAAAAAACAATTACAACAACAAAAGGTAAGTTGAAATAAAAGAAGGACTTCTCAAAGTGGGAAAAAAAGAACATGCAAAAGGAACACTGTACAGCTTCAATTAGTGAATATTTTGAATAAAGTTAGAAAGATCCCAATGTATATATAGGCACACATATTGAGCTATAACATTTGCGTCAAAAAAAAAGAACTTTTTTCTTCGTTTTTTTTTTTCTTTTTTTTTGGTAAGTAAGTGTCAACAGGAGTGACTTCAGTACAGAATAAACTAATCGAATTGTGAAAGAAAAATTTCTGTATACACATATATTTGGTACAGCCAAAATTTGCAAGTATCGTAGTAGAGTTGATAATGCAACAAATATGCAATTATACTCCAATCACAATTACACAGCCAGATGTGTACCCATTTATTGCATAGATTTCTTAAACGGTACGTTTTAATAAACATAAGGGACCGAAAAAAAAACAATACAAAACGATTTTTTTTTGAAAATTTAAAAAATTTCTCGGCAATAAGTTATTTGAAAACAAAAAAAAAAAAATAGAAAGAAGAAAATTTGTAGGATTTTGAAATCAGTAAAATACAGTATCGTTCCAGTGTAAACATATCTCCTTCATCAATGATCTAATTGCAACTATGGCAGGTGTATTTAGGTGTTTGTTGTTGAAATTTATCAATTTGGGTTTCAACTAAAGCATCAAAAGCTATTTAAAAAATCTTCACATGGTTAATTCAGATGTTATCGCTTTTTGTTTATATATATTTTTTAAATAATCACTTAAGCAACAGTTTTTGATCTTTTACTGCAAACTTCGGTGGGCATCTTCTGCTGGGCAAAAGAAAGTTAAGAAAGTTGCTTCAGTTCAGTGGTTGATATTCAATAGCTTTTTTTTCGAGTTCACTTTCTGGTGTTAAATCAGCAAGTACAAGTGGAGTCTTGACTGCTATGGTATGAATATGCAGCTTGTACCTTTTGTATAGGCAGTATATTGAATGTAAAACTCAAACAGTATTTAGAATCCCAACTTTACTCCTTGTCCAATTCTCTGTTTTTTTTTC